GAAGGTAGCAGAAGCAAATGTCACCAATCGGCCAAAGAACGTCCAATCATCAAGATTGCCTCCAAAGTGCAAGTGTCAAGAGTGGAATTGGCAAGGGAGTAGATCTCATGCAGCAGCGACATATTTTCCTTTTGAGCAGCCAATTCCCAAGTCATATGAACCTCATCCCACATATTATCATCCTTATTCATCATGGGGCTGGTTAGATCAGGAGGCACATGTTCCATCATATTTTAGGCCACAATATGTAGAATATGCAGCTCCTAGACATTCAGAGAGATAATCATTTTGTAAAGACTGTTTTGATCAAAATTGGTCTAGAGCTCAACCAAAGAAGAAAGCGGTAAAGCAAGTTTACCGCGTGAAGTATGATGGCCAAAAGAAGAAGAGTTCAGATCTGAATTTAGCTATTGAAAAGCCGATTACATTGCTGAAAAATCCAGCTATTAATGGCAAAGAAGTGGGGAAATCATCTATTGATATTCTAGGTGCCAAATCTGAACAAAAGAAGGTGAGAGTGCCCAAAATCAAGAAGGATTTGCCACTATCCAAAGCATAAATAAAACTGATATGATCAATCGGTTTACCAAAGTGGCAAGAAAAGAAGTTACAAAAGCTTAGGGCAGAGAAGCTAAAAGAGAAGGGCTTGGCGTGGGTTCCTAAAGAAAGTATTCAAGCTCAGAAGAATGATGCTCAAACAAGTTGTGCAACAAAGGCAAAGGAGAGAAGAAGATTCAAGAAACAATTGCCAAATTGGAGGTTTGCATCAAACAATCATTAAAGTTATTGGTCATGGCATCATCCATACTCTCTGCCTATGCCTATGTGGAATTCATCCCCTGGTATGCATGGTTATCCCTTAGCTCCTTATTTTGATCCTTGGTGTGGATCTTTATGTTATGGAGGGTTGCCAAATTATTTTGCTTATCGATGATCAAGAGTTGAAATATTTATTTCGGTTATGCATGCTCTTGTGGATGAATTCATATGGCCCATATTTTGATCTCGCCCTTAGTGTAAAAATATAGCCGATGAGTGCTTGCAACCATTGTGCTATTAGAAAGCCCCTATGGAATTTGCTTTGATGGATTTAAAGCCCAAGGGGCATGATATATGCATTTTAATTTACTTCATGGATGTGACAATATTATGAATCGACTTGCAAATAAGGCCAAGGTGTTGGCATAATCATTATTTCTCACAATAATGTTGTTTAAGGCATCAAGCCGATTAAAATTATATTTGCACCAACAGTTGAGCCGAGTGTGAAGTTTTCTTATTCAGCTTGGCCATATTGCAATCCATGGGGTATGGCATGTTGAAGCCTTTGGTGATTCCTTGCTAGTGGCATAGCTAGTAGTTGATGAGTTTCATTGTTTAGAAGGATCACTAAGAGCTTGTCTTGATGCTTGCTTTGATGTTATTGACTATTTTGTCGAATTTCGGATTTGGCATATTCCAAGGCATGAAAATCAAAAGGCCAACATGTTAGTTCAACAAGCATCTTGCTATGATGTCGGTAGGCATAATTTTCCTATTCAAGAACGGCCGATGCATGAAGATTTACATTTTTCCCGTGCTGGTACAGGCCAGTCGGCTAAGCCGACTGACCAAGTCGGCTCAACCAACTCTTCCCTTGCAGCAGCCAAGTCGGCTAGGCCGACTATCCTAGTCAGCTAGGCCAACTCCTCCTAGTCGGCTAAGCCGACTGATCCAGTTGGCTCAGCCAACTCCCTTGTGACTGGCCTGGTCAATTCGCCCGAGAAGCTACCAAATCGGCCCGACGCAATTTCTAGTGATGTTGGAACCAATTTAGTAGATTGGAGGACTCCCTTGTTGAGATATTTACATGATCCTAATGCCAAATTGATAAGAATGTTCGGTGGAGCGCTTTAAAATATGTGTTGCATAATGATGAGCTCTATCGAAGAACCGCCAAAGACTTGCTGCTTAACTGTTTGGGATCTAATCATGCAAGAGTGGCTATGGGAGAAGTCCATAAAGGCATTTGTGGTACGCATCAATCAGCCCCAAAGATGAAGTGGTTATTGTGTAGAGCCAGTTTTTATTGGCCTACTATGATGCCCGATTGCTTTTGTTGCTACAAAGGTTGTGAAGAGTGTCAGAAGTTTGGAAATATTCAGCTTGTGCTTGTTGCTATGCTTCATCCTATTATCAAACCATGGCGTTTTCATGGTTGGGGGCTAGACTTTATTGGCCAAATACATCGCAGCCTTCAAAGGGACATCGTTTTGTGTTGGTTGCTACGGATTACTTTACAAAGTGGACCGAGGCAGTTCCTTTGAAGAATATGACACATAAGGAGGTAAATGAGTTCATCACTGAGCATATTATCCATAGATTCGGCATCCCTCAAACATTAACAACAGATCAAGGGACATCATTCGTGTCTAAGGAGGTGAGGGAATTTGCCAAATTATATAAAATTAATTTGCTCAATTCATATCCATACTATGCTCAAGCCAATGGCCAGGTTATGTCTAGTAATAAGATTTTGATCAAGCTTATCAAAATGAAGATTGAGGAAAATCCAAGTAGGTGGCATGAAGTTTTGTCTGAGGGTCTATGGGCACATCGCATTTCAAGGCATGGTGCTACAAATGTTACTCTTTTTGAGTTAGTATATGGTCAAGAGGCCGTGTTGCCTGTCGAGGTGAATTTGGATGCATACAGGCTTGCTAAACAAAATGATCTATAAGCTGTTGTGTATCATGATTTGATGATGGATAACATCGATGAGGTGACTGATGTGAGGTTAAAAGCTCTCAAGGAAATAGAGAAAGATAAAGCTCGAGTTGCCAAAGCATACAACAAGAAGGTCAAGAGCAAATCCTTCTAAGTGGCAGAATTAGTATGGAAAACCATACTACCAATTGGATCGTAGAGCAATCAGTTTGGCAAGTGGTCATCAAATTAGGATGGTCCTTACAAAGTGATCAAAGTCATATTTAGTAACTCTTATTTGCTAGAGACATTGCAAGGTGAACGTCTCAATAGAGCATTCAACGGCAAGTACTTGAAAAAGTATTTTCCTAGTGTTTGGCAAGAAGCCTAAGTGCTCTCCAAGCAATGATCGATACATGTATCGCCCTTAGAACAAAAATGGCCGATGTATACATCGCCCTTAGCCACTGAGCAGCTGATGAGATGTGTATCGTCGCTGTTTGGTTTTAATTTATTTGATTAAGTGTTTTCAGGTTTATGCATCATTTACCTGAAAACACGGGGGCATATGTTGAAAACCAAAATTGTCCATTTTATAAAGTTGTCAAAATATGGAACAAACTTCACCATTGCGTTTCCCTCGTCGAGACAGTCAAAAAACATATATGGAACGTCTAATTCGGAGTCCGGATGAAGGAGTTATTCCTCCAGAAAGATGCTCCATTGTCGGGACTTTCGACTCAAGTCGGGACTTTCGACTGTAGGAAGTTCTGACAGGTGTCGGTACTTCCGGGAAGCCTGAAGAAACCAGCTCGGGAGTCTGGGGTTATCCCCACGTCGGGAGTTCTGACCCAAGTCGGGACTTTCGACAGACGTAACAAAAACCTGTTCGTTTCTAGCCTTTTGGATTCCGATCGAAACTATTCTAAACTCGTGGGAAACTTAGAAAATAAGGTTTGGAGAGGTTTCCTACTGGGATAAGACTACCCCCTCTATATATATATGAGAGATCATGGCCAATTGAGTTCCCATCTATATAGTCGACAAACAAATCAATCTACTACCTCTACCCCAACCCTTTTACCCTCTTCTCCAACCCCCATGCTGTTCATCCCTTGATCCGACGACCAAGGATGGCTCCCTAGGCTTGCCGGCCGACTTAGGGCAACCCGACGACGTCCTTGCCCAAACGGGGTCCCTCTCGGGCGAGAGCTTCAACGGTTTCTTTGCTAATTTACTTGAAAACTAGCCAGTTCTTCGTCACGCAAGCACGTTGATTATCCTTTGGAGGTTTGCTTGTAAACCTCTCCGTTCCTCACCACGAAAGAGTGACTTACTTGCTACGTTCTTCGGTCCATAGCGGCCCGGGCGTCCAAGGCCCTGCTGTTGTGTGATTCGGATCATTTTGGATGTCAACACTATCACGGCGTTTTATGGATCATGGAATAGCTGCCCTTGCGAATTCTGTAACTTTCTGTTTCTGCTGATCATCCAAGCTTGGTGGGGTTTTGTTGTATTTGATCCGAATCATGTTATTTTCTAGTGAGAGCATAAGAATGGACACTCTACAATGCCATGGTCTTTTCCACATAAATCGCTTGGAAATCTTATTACAGTACTCATATAATAGTGTGCTCAGGTTAAAGTACACACTGACTGCTCGCTTCAGGCACGGAGTATCACTCTCGCTACAGAATTCGTCCAGCTCTTATGATGGCAGCACAGTCTGCCTAATGAGACTGTAGATGGCCCAAAGGTATCCCTTAGGGCTTTCTCAAAAAAAAAAGGGTCTCCCTTAGGGCAGCTGTTATGCTTGGATATGCTGAGATGGATTTGTGTGAAGTCAGTTGACGGGGGCACAACCAAATAAAAAAGGAGGAAATTACTTGGCGTTTTTACTGTTCTCTCTCTATGCTACCAAGAAATGTCAGAAGTAACAGAGCTTGCTGATTTATTTATTCCCTCTGTTCGAACCGAATCCAAAAGGGAAATTGATGTGCTCGATCGGTTCGTTTGCTCCAGCATTGAAATCAAACCATACTTCTGCTTCTGTCCCCTCATGGTTCGGTTTCCAAACACACTGGAGCTACTCTTAGGCTGCTGCTCCTCTGGCAGCTTCAGCATGCTACCCACCTTCTCGAGCCGTGCCTGCCCGACAGCAGCGTCCGCTGGCGACTCCTTGAAGGACTGCCCGGCGACCTGAGATCCTTGTGGAGCTCCGGCGGCGAAACCGCTCACTGCGTCGCCCAGATAACAAGCGGCCGCATGTAATGCAGCGACTGGTAGCTGCCGTCCTCGGTCTACGCCTCCGGCATCTAGAACGCGTACCGGAAGCCGTCCTTGGCCCAGGCAGCGTCGTGGGTTCCCATGGCCGTCAGGAACGCGGCCGCCGTCATGCCCTCGTGGACCATGGCCGCCACGACGGCGTACGTGACCGCCCTGGGCCACACCTCCTTGGACGGCGTGGAGGACGCGTCCACGGTGCATCCGTTCACCGCCCCGACGGTGCCGCCCTTCACCCGCATCACGTTGTAGTCCAGCACCGTCGAGATCGAGCGTGCTCCACCACGGGCTCGGCCAGCCCGCACGCCCGCGCGTACCACTGCCCCGCCAGCTGGTCTGCCATGATGGACGATCTGGTCGCGCGGCGCGCCGTCACTGCTGTCGTAGCAGAAGCAAGCGCGTTCCCGAGCTCGCCGTCGTGCACGCGCCAAGCCCTCTCGAACCTGGCCCAGAAGTAGGCAGTAGGCCTCGGCGGCGAGGTCGCCGATGACGCGCGCCATGGCCGCGCAGGTGCCTACAGCCCGCCCGTGTAGGCGCTAACGCCGGACACCGAACAGACGTCGTACGTCTAGTCCGGGATTGCCTTGCAGGATATACCATGGGCGTGGCGTATAATATTTAATAAATCAAATAAAACTCTATGCTACGTCATATTAATATGGTTTAATACCATACGAAATTTTGACTGAACGTCGACTAAGCTTATATGGTTGGAAATTCTTCGTCTTAATTGAGAAGCCGAGAAAATGATATAGGCATGCCACACGCGCACGCGCCGCCGTGGGCGTGGGCCGGGCCGAGGCCATGGCATGGCAGGTAGGCCGGCGTGGCCAATCTTTTGCCACTTAAATCCATATAATCACGGGAGTTTCTCTCCCCCCAGTCTTTTGCCACTTAAATCCATGTAATCACGGGAGTTCTCTCCTTGGCAGTTACCGTCCCTTCCGCTTCTCCATTTTCTGGGATTCTCCGCTGCCTTTCTTCCTTCCCTGTCGTGGCCATATATCTGCAGTCCTCCATCAGTCCTTCCGATCTTCCGCAACCGCTCTCGAGAGAAACCACTTCTCAGCAGCCTTCTGGCTTCCCCGTCCCATACCTCTACGCGCACGGAGTAGCGGAAGAGCAGGTGCCTCCGGAACCCTCGCCCGCTTGAGAATCTTACACGGGGTGAGCGACGATTAGGTTTTTGCGGAGCGATCTGCGACTGCTCGTCCACGTCTTCTTCCTGGTGGTGATCGCTCTCGGATCCCGTCTTCTTCCCGGTGATAGCCTATGGAACAGCAAAGCGTTTTCTTCCTGGTGACCGTTCTTGGGACCGCACTACGAACATCTTCCTGCATCGACTGCGGTCTACCACTTCAAGCAACGCACTATGTCGACCAGTGCGAATGGAGCCTCCGATGCCCTCAGCATGGGACCCTCCGCTGGGTACAGTCTAATCTCTGTGATTACTGTATTTTATGTTTTTACTGTATCGATCTGTATGTCATATCTATATGCTGTAGCGTTCATCAGAGATATACACATGCACATATATGACGTAACAAACCTGCTGATGTCATAATTCTGGATTAAATTGACCATGAAAATGCCTAAATTTGTAACAATCCAAAAACCTAATCTTAGGCAATTTTCTGTCAGTGGTTTTGCTACCGCTTTGAAGCCAAATAATTTTGATGGCAAGAATTTCATGATATGGCGTGCCAAGATGGTGTTGTGATTGACTCCGATGAACTGCTATCACGCCGCACAGGGGAAGCCTAAACAGTTTACTCCTGAGGAGGAGCAAAAGTTCTTGGCTACCGATAACCTGTTTCGAGGCGCCGTGATTAGTGCACTTCATCCTAAGTATGAGAAAAACTACATATCTTGCACATCGGGCAAAGTTTTATAGGATGCTCTTGAGGCAAAGTTTGGAGTTTCTAATGCTGGCAGTGAGCTGTACCTTATGAAGCAGCTGTATGACTACAAAATGGTTGAAAACCGTTCTGTAGTCGAACAGGCTCATGAGATACAGGCGCTAGCAAAGGAACTAGAACATTTTCCATGTTTGTTGCCCGACAAGTTTGTGGCCGGCGGTATAATCGCTAAGCTGCCACCTTCTTGGAGAGATTTTGCTACTTCTCTAAAACATAAGAGATAGGAGTTTAGCGTGGCTGAACTTATTGGATCTCTTGATGTTGAGGATAGGGCGAGAGCAAAAGACAACCGTGGAAAAGGAGTTGAGTCTTCCGCTGCCAATATGGTGGAGAAGAAAAACTCATTTGCATCTCGTAATAAAAACAAAGAAGAACATGCAAGAGAACAATAATGCAAAGCCTAAGCAAACTGCACAGTTTAAGAAGAAAAACAACAAGAAAGATGGAGGTTGCTTTGTTCGTGGGAGTGATGAGCATTGGGCAAGTGCATGCCCAGACCACAAATATAAGCAAGAAAAGAAATCAGAAAACGTGGTGATTAGCGAGACTGGAGGAGAAACATCTGGGTATGGTAATTCTTTACCTTTTATTCTTTCAGTTTGTCTTTCACCTGAGTGGTGGATGGACAGCGGTGCTAATATTCATGTGTGTGTTCATGTTTCTTTGTTTACTTCCTATCATGCCAGCAGGACTGGAGCCTTGCTGATGGGAAACGGTTCGCATACGCGTGTTCTTGGTGCTGGTACGGTCATTTTGAAGTTTACTTCGGGAAAGACGGTGCTATTAAAGAACATGCAGTATGTCCCCTCCATCAAGAAGAATCTTGTTAGTGGTTCTCAGATGTGTCACGATGGCTTTAAAATTGTGCTTGAGTCCAATAAGTGTGTTGTGTCGAGACATGGCATATTTGTTGGAAAAGGTTATGATTGGGTAGGCTTGTTCCGCTTAACTTTGCTTGATGATGTGTGTACTAAAGTAGTGAACAATATTAATGTTTCAGATGAGTCGAATATATGGCATTCACGACTTTGTCACATTAATTTTGGCTGTCTCACGCGGCTTGCAAATCTGAATTTAATCCCGAAATTTAACTTCGTCAAAGATTCTAAGTGGCAGGTGTGTGTGCAATCGAAGCAACCGCGTAAGCCTCACAAGGCTACTGAGGCGAGGAACTTGGCACCATTAGAACTCGTTCATTCTAATTTATGCGAAATGAATGGCGAATTGACTAAAGGCGGTAGACGATACTTCATGACATTTATAGATGATTGTACTAGATTTTGCTACGTGTATTTATTGAAAACTAAAGATGAAGCGTTGCATTATTTTAAAGTCTATAAAGCTGAGGTAGAAAATCAACTTGAGAAGAAAATCAAGCATTTGCGGTCCGATCGCAGGGGAGAATATTTCTCAAACGAATTTTCTGAGTTTTGCGCGGTGCATGGAATTATTCATGAGAGGACGCCACCATACTCACCACTGTCCAATGGGATTGCAGAGAGAAAGAACCGCACTCTAACTGATTTGGTTAATGCCATGTTAGAGACTGCGGGACTATCTAAGGAGTGGTGGGGTGAGGCTATATTGACAGCGTGTCATGTCCTGAATAGAGTGCCCACAAAGAACAAAGAAATTACACCATTCGAGGAATGAGAGAAGAAGAGATTAAATCTCTCTTACCTACGAACTTGGGGTTGTTTGGCAAAGGTGAATGTGCCAATAAACAAAAAGTAGAAGCTTGGACCAAAGACTGTTGATTGTGTTTTTCTTGGTTATGGTATTCACAACGTGGGTTATAGATTTTTAATTATAAATTCTAGTGTTCTTGAGATGGTTGTTGATACAATCATGGAATCTAGAGACGCTACATTTTTTGAGAATGAGTTTCTCATGAAAAATGCACCTAGCACGGCTGGTCATGAATTTATAATTCCCCATGAGCATGAAAATTTTACTCCGATAGAGCAAACTGAGGAACCCTATATGTAAAATCCTAAGGAGGATGACACTATAGTCACAAGAAAAAGTAAGAGACAGAGGTCTGCAAAGTCTTTTGGTGATGACTATATTGTGTACCTTATGGATGACACACCAACGACCATTGAAGAGGCATATTCCTCTCCTGATGCTTACTTATGGAAGGAAGCAGTATGGAGTGATATGGATTCTGTTATATCTAATGGAACTTGGGAAATTATTGATCGACCTTATGGGTGCAAGCCTATAGGGTGCAAATGGGTGTTCAAGAAAAAGCTTAGGCCTGATGGTACTATCGAGAGGTACAAGGCAAGGCTTGTGGCCAAGGGTTATACTCAAAAGGAAGGTGAGGATTTCTTTGATACTTATTCACCGGTTGCCCGATTGACCATAATTCGAGTTTTACTTTCCCTGGTAGCCTCTTATGGTCCCATCGTTCATCAAATGGACGTTAAGATAGCTTTCCTAAACAGAGAGTTGGAGGAGGAGATCTATATGGATCAGCTAGATGGGTTTGTAGCAAATGGTCAAGAAGGCAAGGTGTGTAAATTATTAAAGTCATTATATGGCCTAAAACAAGCTCCTAAGCAGTGGCATGAGAAGTTCTACATAACTTTAACATCTGCTAGCTTTGTTGTGAATGAAGCTGACAAATGTGTGTACTATCGGTATGGTGGGGGTGAAGGAGTCATTTTGTGCTTATATGTTGATGACATACTGATCTTTGGATCCAGCCTCAAAGTGATTGAGGAGGTGAAGGGATTTTAACTAATAATTTTGAGATGAAAGATTTGGGAGAGGCTGATGTTATTCTTAATATCAAGCTTCTGAGAGAAGGTGATGGTGGGGTAACTCTGTTATAATCCCACTATGTGGAAAAGGTGCTGAGTCACTTTGGGTTTAGTGACTGTGCATCTACTCCTACACCTTATGATCCTAGTGTGCTATTGAGGAAAAATCAGAGAATAGTAAGGGATCAGTTGAGATATTCCCAGATCATTGGTTCACTCATGTATCTTGCTAGTCCAACAAGGCCTGACATCTCATTTGTTGTGTGCAAGCTGAGCCGGTTTGTGTCAAGTTCGGGAGATGATCGCTGGCGTGCTCTTGAGAGAGTGATGCGCTATCTAAAGGGCACTATGAGCTATGGTATCTGTTATACCGGACACCTAAAGGTGTTGGAAGGCTATTGTGATACCAACTGGATCTCTGATGCTGATGAGCTTTATGCCACAAGTGGATATGTGTTTTTGCTTGGAGGTGGCGCTGTTTCCTAGAAGTCTTGCAAGCATACTATCTTAACGAAGTCTACAATGGAAGCAGAACTCACAACATTGGATATCGCTGGCTCTGAGGCCGAGTGGCTTCGTGATCTCCTTATGGATTTACCGGTTGTTGAAAAACCCATACCGGCTATTTCTATGAACTGTGATAACTAGACTATGATTACGAAGGTTAACAGTTCTAAGGATAACATGAAGTCCACAAGGCATGTTAAGAGAAGACTAAAATCTGTCAGAAAATTGAGAAACTCCAGAGTAATAGCGTTGGACTATGTTCACACGTCTAACAATCTGGCAAATCAATTCACTAAGGGTCTGTCA